ATCAGCTGACTATAAACATAAATGAAGATAAAAGTCGTATAAAGATTCCGCCATTTGAATCAGTATATTAACAACACGTACTACGTACTATATGGCAAAGAAAAGTGTTGGTGTCTGCAAATTTGGCTAATCCACATAATGTCTCATCACGTGCCTTTTGTTGGTAAAATTGTGCAAAAATGACAAGCTGGAGCCTGTTTTCTTTTAGTGACAAATGGCATCCTACAAGATCTTATATGTTCGTATAAGGAGAACAATCATGCTAGGAAGCAGAGTCACCCTTGCACTGATTTGTGCTTTTGTTAAAATGCAGGTAGTTGCAACAATATCCAGGATGTAGCTGATGACACAGATGAATTATCATGAAAATTGTTTTTTGATATAATTGGTAACGTTTCATTTTGTATGGAAACGATCATGTCTCACATTTCATATTTGTTATATAACACGCTTTCACTCATTGCAGTCATGTTGAATAAACATTAAACTGGCATCATCTGAAAAGTTATTATTTATTGAGATAGTTGAAATTCATTTTAAGAAAACTCAGTGACATGTCGAATCCTGGAAAACTTAAACGATATTTTTTATGACAAATTTGTTAGATTTATCAACAATGCATTTCGGATACTCTTTTAACACCTTATATTCTAAAGTATTCCAGAAATGCTATTTGTCGAAATCAATATCAAGGTATTTTGTTATTGTTGTTTAATACGTTTCGAAAAGTTTTATACGTGTTTCCCTCAAAAATTAAATAAAACGTTGCTATGACGTTATTTGCAAATATCAAAAACCATCTAGTATGAACTGAAATACTGCTTATATAATTTATTCCATCGGTTATTCACTTTTAAAATCAATGGTTTGTTTCCTCAGATGAAAATATGATTCTTTTTAAGTAATGACCTTTGACCTTGAACTACGGCAAGATTGTTCCACTTTTTATATTTACGACACATGTTTTCAAAAAGTACACGATTTCAGCTTCCCAATGAGCTATCTAAATGTCATGAGGTATTTAGGTAAATTAAATTTCTAAAATTGTCCTCTCCGCCGCTCCACTTTTACCGATGTGGTATTCATTGGTTTCTCTCTGATATATTTATAAAGTGTTATAATTTCATTCACAGAAGTGTTGCATATCTTATAATTCGTGTAATTTTATCTTGTATTTTTTTTTTCTCGATTTACTTGTAAACAAATGTTTTTATGAAAAGTGTAGTTCCAGGAATATCTTTTTGTTTTCCGAAACTACCAGTTTCATAATTTAGATAGTTCTTGGAATACATTTAATCATACTAATGTAACCTAGTCACGTGAACTGTTTGGTGTATATATACTAGCTGCATTTGATTTGCCAGGTCATGTTGTGGCATAAACATTTGACAAACATCATAAGGTAAATTGTTTTCTAAATTAATATTAATATTTGTTTATTCCTAGAAACATGGGTAATCCACTGTTTAGATATGTACTCAATCATTATAGCTCTGATTGATGTTACGGTATTTTAAAACTTATTCACAAAAAAAAAGTTACATTTCTTTAATTACATTTGACATGTTTTTGTACTAGGAGGCAAGATATTTCATTTTTTAGATACAATATTAAACACAAAAAAAAGAAATACCAAACTTACAGGAAACAGGGTGTTCTGAATACCAAAGGAGTTTTCAGGTTCGTTAGACCTTCTACATTATGTGCGTAATCGTATATATCAATAAAGCGTCCTGAACGGGGAAAATGACAAATTGTCAATATCGAATTTAATATCAGTGACAACATTTTTAAATTTAAAAATTATTCCTTTAAATGTTATTTATTGCCATTTTTATGTATGACTGAACATGTTTGGTTTGACAAAAAAGTAGAATCATTTTTTCATGTTTTGATGCATCATGAACATATTAAAATGGTTTACCTGTAGGGGCTTTACGACTGAGCAGATGTACACAAGGAAAGAGATATTTGATTACGATTTAAGATTAACAAAACAAAGTAAATATTATGAATTGTTGTTAATTGTTTTCTGACTTAATTAATTCTGTGAATTGTTAGGTAACATAATATAGTTTTGAAATCATATATGCTGATTTACATGAGTATTATTTTTGTAAATCATTGCCAGTCAAATTGGGTTGTAAAAATGTGAAGAAAAACATCATTTTATAGGCATAAACTCCTATAAGGAGTGGAGTGACAATTTCAGCTATTTGACTGGTTTGTAGATCTTGCTGGTAATTTTTCTGTATGTAGGTTTCGTGTACTAAAACGAGAAAGAGAGATAACATCCGCATTTTGCAGCAATAATTCATATGAGGAGTTAAGGCCGCAAAAGAACAACATGTCGATTTAAAATTTTGCCTGAATAAATTGTGGTAAGATCTCATCGTTCTGTACATGTCTGTCTCGTCAGATTTCCATAGGGTTACAAGTTAATATACAAATAAAATTGAGAATGGAAATGGGGAATGTGTCAAAGAGACAAACATACATTCCAACCTGATTTTCTTTGTTTTACTGACATGTTGGTTGGCTAGCTGTATTAACCGACACATATTTTAAATTAGCAAAATGAAAGCAATAATTCCTGCTGGCTTTACAGGCTAATTAGCTTTAAAAAAAGAGATGATACCAAAGATTAAAAAATCATGTCCAATAAAAACAAACAATGCCATGGTCACATTGTAAAAACGACCATTTGTAACTAATTATTTTTATGATTTTTAATACAATTGCCAATTTTAGGTAAAAGTCACATCTGGTTGCATCCGAAAAAGGTCGAAACAAATAATCCCTTGAATTTGACAGCTGTCGGAAATTAATCCTACATTTTATTGCAATAAAAGATTCTGAGTCATAATCATATATCTTATGTGTTTCAAAGCATCATTCTTTTATTATTTTGTGTTTCTATAGATTATTTTGAAGAAATAAGAGTACATGCCATTGGTTACTAAAACATGTAAAACTTGTACACAGGGAAAAAACAAGTAAAAATTTGATTGGTTCACTTCCAATGATGGCTGTTATCTTAAATGCAGTGAAATGTTATTTGAAGTAATTACTCATGTCAACTTTTTTTTTATTTGAAATAAAGATATGTTCTTCACATTTATTTTTTAAAAAAATGCAAATTTAACAAAGACTTGCACCTATTATTGGCCATTTTACATATTTTAAAAGAAAATTATAACAACCAATTTCTCCTTTTTGGTATACATAAAGGGTAATTGTATATGTTTTTATACATATCTTTAAATTTTTATATTGACAAATCACTTTATGAGTATGTTGCGATGTACCTAAAGTTAGTTTTGTTGCTAGAAAATAAAGTCATCATACAAGTTTTTAATGTGTATTCCACGCGCGTTCCGAATTCAAAAGACTCACCTGTGACTTTTGGATCAAAACATCTAAAACGGTAAAAAAAAGTACTATGTTAAAAAGAATTAAGGACCCAAACCTCCACAACTTTTTGCCAGTACAAATTTCGTTTCAGTAAATGATATGGTTATAAATCAATGCATTAATCGTGCTCTTCTTAAGATGATTATAATAAGTATAAGTGAATGGTCGATAGACCTTTACGAGTGAAATAGATGTTAACCTCATGAAAAGCCTTGGTGTAGTGGTAAGGGCATCGGACTACTAACACAAAGGTTCCTAGTTCGATCCCCGTTCCAGGGAGAAAATTTCAGGGAATGAATTTGCGGCTCTCCCTTAACACCATTTGTGAGTATGGTCTCAAGAAACGATGATAGTTCGTCGGATGGGGACGATAAATGGCTGATCCGTATGAAGAGAGAGCAATATCTCTTGCACGTAAAAGACACACTTGTACATTTCGAAAAAAGAGCAGGCTATTGCCGCTCCAAGGAAGCTCTCGCACTCGCAAAATGGAAAGGGATTACTATAAGTTGTAATAACTTGAATCCCTATCCACTATGAATAATAATGTTTAAACTAACCTCATGGATTCTTAAAGGACAATAAAAAAAGACCGAGTGATGATTTACGACTCTTCAAAAGATCCGGGTAAGACCTGAATAATTTCCAGTACTACAGGGAGTAATCGGAGGTAACTTTGATCACAGAAAGTAACTCATATCAAGGACAGGGACTTTCATGGTCACTTAATAGTTCAGTAAATACAATTTAAAACATTATATAAACTCAAAAACGATACACTGAAAAATTGTTAAAAAAAATGTCCCTGAACTTAAATCAACGTACTTTCGGCTATAACTTAAATATCAATGATTGAAATCAATGAAAACAAATATAATGTTTATCATAATACAACAGATAGGGGAAAAAATCTGGACAAAGATGTTGGTTATTTGGTCTATTGTAAACGAACACTTCTAATTTTGTTTTTCATTTTATCATCCTATTGTGAACAATTTTGAGTGTATGAATCACCTCGTATTTTAAAGTGTAACTTAGTTTTTGTTCTCTCTATCCTATACAACATACCTAATTCCAAACGTCGCCCATTCAAGGCTCAGATATTTGTTGACCAAATTTTCAATGTCCTCTTCAATGTATTCAAATATTGCACCCTATACAAATACGATAGCGTGAAGCCTCTTCATTTCATCACGAGTTGGACGAATTGTTTTGTCGGTTTTCTGTTTGAGCTACAGAAATCTCCATTGTGTGACTTATATAGGTTTAATTGTGTTATCATGACATATCATAAAAACTAAATATTAAACATTCCTTTTCATCATATGCATGAATATTCAATATGTGTGTTAAAGAACGTTGTGATGTTGAGTCCTTTTTATTTCAACGCAAGGTTTTATTAACACTTAAAATATCCCTTTACGAACAAATGTTATCTTTAAGATTTATCTAAATCTTTAAAATATAGGTAATATGACTTTTTATCAAATAATTGTCTACAATATTATGTTCTATATTTCAGGTTTGTACAGTTGTCTAATTTCTATACTTTATTTAGGCAAAACATTATCTTTTAATTTTTGTAGTTAACAGAATCACACAATACAGCTACAAATATGACAAAAAAATTGTCAAAGGAACACCTCATTGCATATGAAAAATGCCTTCTTGAATGGATTGTGTTATGTTCACAAGTCGTCACAGAATTAAACTCACTTGCTGATAATTTAGACCAACATTTCCAAAAGATTGCCAAGGCAAAAATCGGAGGATCTGCTGCTGGAGTTGTTGGGGGAGTAATGGCTACTGTTGGATTTGGTTTATCCTTTGTTACATTTGGAGCCTCATTAGGATTAGCTATTGCAGGTACATTTCACATTAATATATTATGCAGATGCAAAGAGAATGCTACAATTCTGAGTGGTCGTGGATTGTTTTACAAATTTCTTAATTCATAGATATTGCATTCCGTTGGGCATGCGTCATTTGGGACTGTGAAGCGGTTCGTGTCGGGATAAGTTTAAGGTGTCTATGTGAGGATACATGTCCTCTTGTGATTTGTTACCTTTTGACCTACTCCGTAAAAACCAACCGATATTTTCTTTTATGTTTATTATGACGTTCCTTATCACTTAACTAGTACACATTTTTGTTTAGGAGACTCCTGAAGCACGACTCCGTGTGCGGGATTTTCTCGCTGTATTGAAGACCCGTTGGTGGGCTTCGGTTGTTTTGAATACTAGTTCAGTGGAAATGGACGTCACACTAACAATGTTTATCATACTTTACCTTCCATAGAGAAAGTACAATACAATTAATATCCCTTCAAAGCCACATTACTTATTGTAACAGTTAAAACAGTCCAATACAGAAGTGTTAACTACAGAAGGTTTACTTTAAAATCTCGGAAAGTCTTCTGACTGATCTTGTCATGGATTAAAAGAAGGGAAATATTATCATGATTGCCAAGCATGTCTACCTCGATCACCCTGTTGCTGTAATTTATCGGGTGATTTAGCAGTTTTGTATTCGCTCTTCAAATTATTTAATTAGTTCAGTCAACCAATTCTGTAAAAAAATAAAACTACATGTTATAAATTGTATGCGTATAAAGCACTGATCTAGATTTACCATCATCCGGAAGGGTCTTTGTTTACCATTCACTCATCTTTCTTTATGTCATATTGAATATTTTCCTGCCGCGTCCGTTATCACCTGATGCCCTCTAACAATATCTTCTGTGAGGATGATCTTACATATGCATCTATTTTTTTTTTCTTCGGCTTGGTCTCGACTGAATGAACTATTTTGAACGAGCTTATACGTGTTGAATTTGTTGACAAGCAAACATCAACCATAATCACCGTAGTTTCACTGTCCAATATGTTTCTCTGTTCATCTTGCATTGGATTTTCATTTTCGTTTTCAATTGGAAATGAGTTCTGTTAATACTATTGTGTTGACAATGTAAAGATTTTGTAATAGCTGATGAAGTTGAAAGATTTCGTTTGAAGAGGTAATATCATAAATTTTTCAACAACAATGAGTAATTGCATGATTGTCTTTGTTAACTCTCGTCTGAATTGACTACTCATGGTTTGAATATTTGGAAAAAAACAAAAAAAAACTGTTCTATTTCGTTTCAATTATTTCCTCACGTTTGTCCTTTCAGATGAAAGTTGCTAAATGAATTGTCCACATATCTATGGTTCTCTTTTGCCCTGTCACAGGAAATTTGAAGCACTTCAATTTCACATGGAATAGTTTGGTTATATAATCATATTTGTAGCAAGTGAAACAACTTACTGGATTGAGACCTGACAATATTCAAAACAAGAGAAAGAGAGCAAGGGACATTCAAAGTTTCGACGCTATAGAAATCAAAACGAAATACAATTAAAAACCAATTGTTCAGAGAAGGTCTTTCCACCAGGAAGGATCTTTTTTGATTTGTAAATATTAAAATTTGATTTTGAAAGTCAATTCCAGCATCAAATGACAGTTTTTTGTACGATGATTCCAAAAATGTATGGTTTCTATACAAAAAATATAAATAAGGGAGATAATTTTTTACTTCCGGTTCGACAAATGTCATTTCCGATACTGTTTGATAGTTTACCTGACACTGATTCTAAAAATATATATGTCTCTATATATATTTACACTAGTTTAGTACAAAAAATAGCTATTTCTGATTTAGAAAAGGTCACTTCCGGTGAGTTTTTCAAGGTCATATGGCTTGCAACCTAATGCTAAAAGTCCCATGACTTTACAATGTATAAACATGAGTTAAAAACAAAGGTTAAAATATAGAACGTCGAATAAACCTTTGATCTTGACCTATAGCTAAATTTCAAGGTCACGAAACATAGACCTTAAATCAAAAGACCCTAGGTCTTAATTATATATGATAAATGAATTATATCACCAAACGTGTAATTTTAAATATAATAGGGGGAGAAAACTCCCATTAAATGTCTCCGTGCCCTTTCAACTCAGATTTACGTGTTACGACATGTCGCAACTAACAATTCTGTAAAAAATATTTCGTCGATATCTTATAAGATTTCTGAAAGTTAGAGATAACAAAACATAATCAAAATTTTGATCATGACCTTGACCTTTGACCTTGACCTCATTTTCATTTTTAGGGACCAAGAACCTCAAATCAAAAGACCCTAGGCCTCTTTTACTTATGGTTATCCAGCTACAAACACATTTCACTTATCATCAAATGCAAAAGGGGAAATAACTCTCATATGGAATCTTTATACGGCTTCGGTCAAAATAAAACGAAACATCCTGAGGATATAAGGAGCAATTTAGAAAAATAAATTTGTCGTTTCTTATACGGTTGCGAAGTTTTAGAAATAACAAGAAAAACATTGTTCGGAGGGGATAACTCTTACATGGAAAAGTATCGGTATACGCAGTGCAAGTTACAATAGCTTACAAACTGTACGATATTATGTCCCAAATATCTAAGCGACATCTTGCGAAACATCAATACAGCGAAGGAAAAAAATTAGGCGGAAGAAAAAATAATCAGAGGAAAAGCAATAGGTCTTTCCACGGAAAAGTGGAAAGACCTAATAAACAGAAAAAAACAACAGCTCACAAAAAATTTATGAAAAGACTGAAAAAAGTTAACCCCGCCAAAAACCAGTTGAACAGTTGAACCAGAAAGATAAGCAGAATAAACGTTATTTCCATTGACAACAACTTTGGTAACATAGTTACAGACCATGAATATCTGTTATTGGGTATTGAAATCAAATTTGAACATAAGGATGTGACCAACGGATAATTTGTGATATAATTATAACTCTATATCAAATGAATATTAATTTAATAATAACTGAATGTATGTCAGACTTTGTGTTCCTTACTATCTCCACTACTCGGGTTGATTCATACACAATAAGCATTTTTAACTGTCACGGAAATGCTTTTTAAAATTGCGTTTGTCTATAAGCAAATAAATTTTGAATGCTTCTTTAATCATGTTTATGTTATTGGATGTTTTAAAACAGATATATCATCTAAATAATCATAATAATACAAAGTGTTATTTAAAACTTAAAATAACAAAAATACTAAATTCGCAGGAAAATTCAAAACGGAAAGTCTCTTGTCAAATTGCAAAATCAACGGCTCAATTACAACAAACGATTAGGAAAAACGGTCATATTCCTGAATTGGTACAGGCATTTCCTTATGTAGAGAATGGTGGATTTAACCTCGTTATATATGTAGCAAAATGTGCATCTCTTACTTGTATGACAGTCGCATAAAAATCCACTATATTGACAACAATGTGTGAACAGAATATAATATATAGTCATGGTTAAACGCTATGTTTTAGGTGGTGTTATTGCTGGAGCAGGAGGGTTGACTGTTGGTGGTTCAGCTGCAACTGATGCAATTCTCTCCCGAAATCGAAAAAGAACAGCTGAAGAACTTATAAAGAAATATAACACAAAATTGGACGAGGTAAAAAACAAATATCTAGAAATACATGTTGAATTACAGAAGACAGCTGAGCTATCAAATCTTGGATCACGCATCGAAGAAAAATTCCCCCATTGGATTAAATTTTGGTGGAATCTGGTTAAAGGAGCTGGCCAGGTAGGTTGGAGTACAGGTGGGAGTATTATTTATACAACCATCAAATCATCGTTTCAACTTGCAACCGCCTTTGATGATGCAGCAATTACTGGACTGAGAGTTGGAGGTGGAGTATTTAAGACCTTTGGAACTGTTGGACGAGCTTTTCATGTAGTGGGAGGAGTTGCCAACATTGTGTTTCTTCCACTAGACATTTTCACCATGGTAGATTCTGCTATTGATGTACATAAGAAAAATCCACATAAAATATCATCTGCGATGAGAAAATTGGCAATACAAATTGAAAAAGAGTGTCCAAAAAAAGAATCAATTCAAACAATGATAGCGGAAACATTGAAACAACTAGAAAAAGAATAGATTAATATTAACTAACACATCTGCTCGTTATAATTATTTATATATATATTTCTCAAAATTGTCTGTCTGGGTCATATATAGCCCACAAAGCAACTATACATTCAAAGTGCACTTATCGTAGAAAGTAATAAGATCTATGTTGCACATCATTTAAAATCTTCCAAACAAGACTTACATGCTCTGTGTAATGACCTTTAAATAGGACCATTCTTAATTTGAGTTCAGTTTCAAAATCTTATTACCAGTGGTTAATCCTGCGAACACAGATATTAATAGTTAGATTTTGGACCAAATTGCCCTTTCATGTGCGAAATTTGGATAATTTGGTCTGAATCCTACTGAAATCATTTGTTAACTATAATACCAATAACATTTTACCATGAACTGTTCTCTATGCTAGAAAGGGAAAGAGTGAATTTATTTCCTACAGCGTATCGATGTAAACATTATCAAGTTATTTAGAAATTGCGCTCGTTTATTACTTGATCCCAACATTAAATCAATTATATGCGATGTGATGTGTGTTTCAATACCGTGAGTAGTTCACGACGACAAAAATTAAGTTAAGAACAATTAGACTTTTCTGCAGTCAACAGCACTGATTTGACTTTATTTGATCAGATTTAAAGTTATATGATGGTCAAGCATCATCTGAGGATTAAGTTCTTTTTAAATTACGTTCATATATTTTGGAAAAAAAACAAATGAAGAGTTGTTGCCAATGCAGTTAGTAGTTATTTAAATTTTCATGTCAAGTTTTAATATATTTGGGTCTTTTGTATCATTCATACCACAATGTACGGAGCCCCGCTATGGACATTCCAGGAAAAAAAATATATTGTGCTCACAAAATAAAATATAGTGCGCACAACTTAAATATATTGTGCGCTAAAAATGATATTATTGTGCGCACACACTAATATATATGTGCGCACAGTTCAGATACATGTATATATTGTGCGCACAAAACAATAAACTGTGCCCACAAAGCAATATAATGTGCGCAGAAAACAATATACTGTGCGCATAAGTAAAACAGTGTTCACTTGACCTTGATCTCATTTTATGGATCATTGAACAAGGTTACCTTTTCCTTATTAAGCCGACATTTCAGATACTATATGGAATAGTTTTATATATTTTGTATGTGAATATTTTAAAGTGTAAATGTTCAACTGGCAGGTATCAATTGACCTTGATAATTTTCATGGTTCATTGGTCCATGTTACTATTTTTTTCTCGTCTGTTTTAATAATAAGAGATCTATATAATTGTAAGGTTTATAAATTTGTCAAGTTGATATCATCTGACCTTGACCTTATTTTCATGGTTTATTGGTCAATGATAAATATCTCAGATTTTGTCTGTTTTTCAGATACGGTATCTAAGATATAGTAGAACTATATCTCATGTTTAAAATAATTATAAGGTGCGTTTGTCGTATAAGGTTTGTTTCTGTTTTATTGGCGATTATTAATTGCTGAATATCAGAATTTTTTTTTAATTCTAGTGAGATGTAACCGAATCTTGTTTGGTTTGAATTTGTTTGAGAGATTAAACTATTTGAACCAACCTGACGGAATGATGTGTTGTTGTTATAGCATTGATTTTCTTTTTGCATGGTAAACAACTTTAGTTGTAACTTCACTACTGCTTATGTTTTGTATTCATCCCCCGCGTGTGTTTTCGTGTTTTTCAATTTTAAACTTAGCCAATCGTCAATTCAAAGTTAGGATTTGCGTTACTATTACTTAATTGAAATATAATAATTTTGATAACTGGTTTGTACTTTACAAACGTGTCAGGTAATTGCGAATTTGTTTTTATTTTCAATCAAATTGTTTAAATCAAACATGATAATGACCGATGTTGTATGCTGTAATGATAAATTGCGGCATCTTTTCCTTTCTTTGGTGGTGGTGGTGATATTCCATTGACTCCATCAAACGGAATGCATATTTCTCCCTTGGGTAAATGTGCCCGTGTTTTATAGAAGTTTTGAATTTCAATGAATAATAACATCATTACAACAATTCGTACAGCAGGAACATAGATATATTCAAAAGGTTGAATCTTTAACAAAATGTTATCACATTTATAGAGATTAATGGTTAAAATATTATTAAACATGCAAATTTTTAATAACAACATTTTTTTTTTGTACCCTGTTATTTCGGCAAGATTGTTAATAAAACCTTTTTTTTATATTTACTGCAGGGTTTGTTACTCGTGCTGTGTGGATTCAGTAGAATGTGTCCCCGTGCCTGTAGTGTACGCCCTTATATTTTTACAGTTAGGGGTTTTTTGCTTGTGAGAGAGATGTCTACTTATTCCATTATCATGATTATTAATGTTCTATTACTTATACTGTATTTGTGTCTCATGTTGGTCTTTTGTGGAGAGTTGTCTCATTTGCAATCATACTACATCTTCTGTTTTATATCAACGATGGTGAATATAGTTACATACCATGAATGTGTTATTGAACGGTGGAACCGTTGGAATATAAAGATGTTACAAATGAATAATTGTATAATGATAATAAATTAATGTTGTTTTTATATTAATTATTTGAATATATCACTGTGTGTCCGAATTTATGTGTTCCTACTATCTCCACTGCTAGGCTATCCATACATTCTTTATATGTTATATTGTTTAAATAAATACTTTTGTTAATAATGATTAAAACACATAGACGTGAGTTTCAATATTCCAATGAATGTTTTCATTTGTGTGAAATTCATTTTCCGATTTTTTTATCACGTGCATTAGAAAACCAATATATGAGTTTAATGACAATATATTCCAATGTACACGGCATGCCACTCTATAGTATTAAATGTTGTATTTTAGACTTTGTGTTGTATCTAGCGGAAAATTAAATGCTATTTCTGGACGAGAACTTGTCAATTAAAAATGATAATTAACCCTGCTTTGTACTAGACAGTTACTCATAAAACATAACAAATTTGTAAATAGTCTTTACTATACATGTTGTACAAATTATTGTTCAATCACTGAAATTCATAGTTTGAAGCAATACTTAACCGTTTCTCATGGTTTTTTCTGTATGTAGTTATAGGAAGATGTGGTATGAGTGCCAATGAGACAACTCTCCATCCAAGTCACAATTTATAAAAGTAAACCATTACAGGTCAAAATACGGTCTTCAACACGGAGCCTAGGCTCACACCGAACAGCAAGCTATAAAGGGCTCTTAAAATTACTAGTGTAAAACCATTCAAACGGGAAAACAAATGGTCTAATCTATATAAAAAACGAGAAACGAGAAACACTTAAGAACCACATAAACCGACGACAACTACTGTACATCAGATTCCTGACTTAGGACAGGTGCAAACAATAGCAGTGGGATTAAACATTTTAATGGTACCAAACCTTCTCCTTTTTCTGAAACAATAGTATTACATCACAACATAGAAAGACACACTATATAAATAATACATAGCTGACAGAGTAATAGAGCAGATTGTTACCCCGAGAAAACATTGTCAACCGCGGCGAAGCCAAGAGTGACAATGCTTTTTCGAGGGATACCAATCTGATCTATCACCCTCTCAGCTATGTGTTATCTAGTTTATTATACTGAATATCTTTTCAATATTGTCTTTTACAAATTAATTTGATTTTAAAAGTATTTTCTATGACGTCAGGTACATAACAACGTTACGGGTATTAGAAAAAAACAAGCAAGATATTTTATTTTTTTATTTTGACAGTCAAATAATAACAGTACAACATAAAAACAAACTATAAAAAATCATTTGAACAGGAGTGAACTCATCCGATCAAAACAAAGCAGAAAGACATATGCCAAAACACAGACCAGATGCGGCATGGTATTTATACATCCTGATTACCAATCAAACACTAAATACATATCTAACAGTACCAGCAGTTAATGGCGTCTAATTCAAAGCCAATAAAAACTAATAAAAATATCTAACATCGAATTGATTAAGTGTAAATACGTCATTAACGATCAGAGAAAAAACACGAGTGAAACGTATTATATATTCCTGGTGTTTCATGTTTTAGTATTTTTGAAAAATCAATGAACGCACTTCGTATAATACTATTATCTTCTCCAATGTCTAGAAAATAAACCCAGAAAATTAGCTCTTGTCCAAAACATGCCTAAAATATTTGTCACTTGAGGTTGAAAAGCCAGAATTAATCTTTTCTTTCAAATTCTTAACTGTATGAAATCAGACGATATGGTATGATTTCCAATGAGGTAACTATTCACCGAAGACCAAATAACGTAGATATAAGCAGGTTAAAGTAACAGTATGGGCTTTAACAACTGACAAAACCTTTATTGGATAGCAAATTACTTTAAATTGCCATGTTCGTTTTTGATAGTAGAAGTTTATGAAAGATGAATATAACACGTTTTTTATGCGTACGAAGCGGTTTCTTTTTTATCTTCATCAGGCACAATCAAATCTAAAAATCTTAAAACTGAAAGCCAGAGATGAATAAGTACAAACAAACGAAGAGTTTATAGGACATAAAGAGATTGGAATATAATAGAAAAATGACTATTCAACCAAGTATGTCTGTCTATCTGTGCAAAAAAGAAGTCCCACTATGATTCTTAATAGGAAATGTCAATGTCAGTTTGGCCATTACTTTTGGAATGTTTAAAGCTGATAAAATTATGATGAACTTAATTGCATTAACTTGTTTCGTAAGCAGCAATGAAATCGATATTATGGTAAATTGGTAATTTGTCAGCTTTTTACATGAACTGTTCAATAATTCTGCATGTTAAAGTAGATGCCGATATAATTAATGCAATTCTGTGTATATGAATTAAAATTTCATATCAATCTTATTTTTCTGTTTTATATTGTAAATGAAGTTGGACTTTTCAATGTAAGTTGTGTGTGAATGTCTTTAATATGGATATTTTCTACTATATAGAATATTAACAAATTAGAAGTTTTATTTTCAAGTTTGTTTTGATACAA